GGGACACTTTGAGATTCCAGAACCATCCGGAAGTGTCCCAACTTAATCTAAGTGTTGGACTTTATATTTTAGATTGAAAGAAGATTTAATTTGAATTGAGCATTTTATTAGAAATTTGGGATTATATTTCCGAAGTTTGGGGTCTTATGATCAAAAATCTGTCCCGAATCCTAAATCTAATTTGGACACTGGACGATAGTCGTCCGAACCTAACTAATGCAGTGTGAGGTCTGGACTTACCCCATCCTGGATTGGGGAGCCAGTTAACCACCTAGTTGATTTAAAAGAGATGAGTTCGATCTTTTATGAAAGAGTGGTAGAGACGTTTTATTTAAAGTTTTGGAAAGCTGGGGTCGACATCTAGAGATTTTCCTAATTGACCCCTTTGCTTATGTTGGTGCAAAATGCTAAGGACTAATGTAATTAAAATTTTGACTCTTTTAGATATATTTTTAATGCAATGCATGCCAGTTGACAACTTCAAATCAAGTATGCTTGAAATTTTAAAAATAGGCTTAGAAAATAATTTTTTTAGAAGATTGGGCTTCCCCAGGTCCAGCACCTCGTCCTCATAGGTCAGACTATCCGGACTCTACCCGCAGGCGGGAAAGGGTCTAAAGCATGGAAAGAGTAATGCAAAAATATGCATGCGACCCCGGGGTCGATCCCCGGCTAATTCCCTATATTCGTTATCTTTCTATGTTATTTAGACTCACTAAATTTTAAACTTTAAGATTATGAGTATAAAAATTTTCACACCCTTACGAGTCTTACGTATCCATGCAAAAATAAAAGCGACACACAAACGCCAAAAAAATAAAAAAAGTAGGCAACCCTAAAGGCAACCATCTCAACACATCAAATATAAATGAATTAATTAATAAATGTCTATAGGCATAGTTGCATTGCTTATTACAAACTAGAATTTTGTAGAAAGTAAAGTGGTCGGGCACCACTGACGCCCGGATTCTAAACCTAATAGAGACACAAGTGGTTTTGTATAAGATACTTTGTCTTCATA